AAGGTAATTTTATTTATCTAGAACATCCTCGGCAACAAGACAGTTCAAAGTGCTGGTGTCAGTCAGTCTAATCTAATCATGAGACCTTTTTGCTCAGACAGAATACACAACAGAGGAGTCTTGCTATCAGAAAGGTTTCCATGGTAATAGTAAAGACACTCTGCTACATTAATCCTAAAATCTTTATCTGAAGAAACTAATTCTTGGATGATCTGAAATTTTGTGCTTTTGAATTCAGTCAAAACAATAAGTTATTGTTTTTGGATCAGAACCTCTGAAACAGAACCTGCTTAGGATCCTGGTAGTATTAAAGTAAAGAATAAAGTAAAGAACCTCTGTGTTGTTTTTGACCCGGGTTTGTCATTTAAATTAAACAGGTTTCTACTATTTCCTTCTTTCACCTCCACAAGCAGAAGAAAATTCTGCTTGTTCGGAAAATTAATCCGAACTGTCCAGAGGTTAAGATGTTACACTGAAAAACTAGGTCCTGCATTTGTTACTATAAATGTAACAGTAAACTGTTACTGTAAACAGTTTACTGCAGCAGTAAACTGCAGCCACACACAAGCCAAGCTGCTCAATAGTTCAGAGTAAAGACTCTTCGTATAAAGTCGTCTGTTGCTGACAGAGAGCTCATGTTGGTGACTCACAGCTGTAACATCTCTGAAAAACTGCGTGGCGTCTCCGAGACCAGCGGTGGACAGGATGGGGGCGCTGGCCGCCAGGGCGCCGGCCACCATGTTGGGATACTTGAGTCTCATGTAGACGGACAACATTCCACCGTAGCTGCAGCAACAGGGGTGAGAGGGGAAGATGTTATCTGACAACCTACAGTACCACTACTCCTGTAGGTCTCACCTGCCACCAAACACAATAACAGGACAGTGTGAGGCTGCCAGCTGCTCCTTGAGCTCCCTGATCATGAGGGCGTAGTCAGCGAGGGCCTGCTCCACCGTCAGCAGCCCCACCTCAGGGATGTTGAAGGACTCTTTCCCAAACGGCAGAGATTGGCCGTAATATCTCTGAAAAAGACAACGGTATGAGCATGAGAGAAATATTATTAAAAAATACATATTAGTTAAAAAAAAATCTTATGTCAGCAACAGAGATTGAAGGAAAAATGTACAGCTTTGATCATATTTACTGAAAACACAGAAAAGACATTAAATAAAACGTTTTTCATCCAACTTTTAGCTTGAGGTGTGGAAGGTCAAGTTCACAAAGAGCAGACAGAAACAAAGGCCAGGCAGCACAGCAGTCATAATGGCAGTTTCTCTATTCCAAAGTCCTCTCTAATTATCTACTATCTTACAGGATTTAGATCCAGTACTGGTTTTGCAAATGGAATAACCTGATTTTATTGATCTGGCCAACATTGTCCAATTAGAAGAAACAATGACCAATTTACTGTTAGAATCCATAGAGTTTTTGCTTAAATGTTCTGTTACTTAAAAAGAGTCCATGATGCCATTTACTCCAACAATGTTTCTGGTCTTCAGAAGAGCAACAGACCCAACAGATCCTCCAACGTCCTCATCAGTGCTCATAACATATGTCTCTACATATTCATCCTTTATTTTAATACACCAGGTGTTGCTGAAAAGCTCTAAGTGAATCCAGGGACACACCGCACCACTTTTACAGTCATCATCACTGATTGTGAGAAGACCTGTTCACACCGTCAGACTGAGAACCAAACAGTGAACAGCTGGACCTGCTGATGGAGCACAGACTGCAGCCTCCACCAGAGCTGCTGCATGCAGCAAACTCAGCGCTGCAAACCAAACCGTATGCAAACATAGACATTATTCTCAGAATATGGCAGGAGTAAATATTTAAAATAATTTATTCTGATAAGAGTAGTAAATACATTTTGAACAGTGCTGACTGCTTTTTTGTGTTTGTTTTGAGTTTAGAGTTGGGAACACTGATTTGTTTGCTTTGAGGTTAATGGGTTTTGTAATTAGTTTTAATGTGGGATTTGTTATTCTCATCATAAACAAACAACATTATAATGTATGGACTGAGTTGTGTAGAAAAGAATTTAACAATTATGATTATTAATTTGATCCTCATTTGAAAATATTTTATTCTTAATATTGGTAATAGATAAATACAAACCTAACCCCTTTATGTTTTACGTAAAAGAAAACTTCTCAGTTTAAGAGCATTTACACATTTTGGTTCAGGAGACGGATCATTTCATTTATTTTGTTGAGGCTCTTCATTATTTACTGGTTTTTAGTCTTTAATATCTGAATGTCTCTTTTATTGTTGTCATGACTGCATGATTTTATTTTGATAGCTGGTTTATGCCCACTGTTTAATATTTATGATGCAGTTAAATAAACTAAAGTTTTCTGGAAAAAAGAAGAAAAAGAAACATCTGACAGCTGAAGTGTTCCAGCCTCTATCAGCAGCACACTGCTCACACGGCCTGTCTGCATCCAGAATCTGTGTTTACATTTGTGATGGTAGGACAGAAAAAAGATAAACAACTGATTATTATGAAGACTTGCTGACCTTATATCTTCTTACCATCCTACATACTATAAATGATGACAAAAATAATTCTAATTGTTTCACCAGGACTTTTGTTCATATTTCTGATAAAAGGGGCTTTGTTCACACTGAATAAATGTACTCAAAGTAACAATTAATTTAAACTAAGAACCTTCTAAACCACACTGCTAAATGAACAAACAATATCACATAATGGTCTTTACTAACCACAATCAATGTAACTAAAATGTTAAAAAGCAAGAAAACAGATGAGGTAGTTTTACAATCCTAGTCTAGCTGCAGCTGAAGTGTGTGAAAAAAACTGTCGTGCAGTTTGACTAGTGACAAATGAAGCTGATGAACCGAGTCGAACTTTAAACATTTACTTCCCCTTTTTCCTCCTCACATGATCCACCAAATCTCAGCTTGGCTGCCTCCAACACACTGGCGGCTCTTTTTTGACAGTTTTTTCTTACATGTTCAGCGAATATGACCAGTGCCTGCTGCTGAGCTGCCAGCTCTGTGATGAACCCAGAGTTCAGAGCAAACTCCCAGATGTTGCCTTCATTTCCGGTGTAGAAGAAGATGGGACCATAGCCTTTCTTCCAGTACTGGTCTACAGCAGGGAACAACATTCATGTTAATCATTTGCTGTTCAGTTTATAACATTTATTACAGGAAAGTGTCTGTACCTGTGATCAGGTATCGCTGGCTGAACGTTCCGTTGCCCATGCTGTTAAAGTTGAAATGATCCAAAGTCTGGGTGAAGAACTTTTCAGTGAACTGGGGATCTGATGAACCTGCAGACTTTGTAGCCTGGAGCAGTGAAATGAGCAGCACATGTTAGAAAACACAGCATGATGCAGTTTAAATAACCCGCATAGCAATGAATGTTTGGCTCATGAATGACTTTAAAATAATTTATTCTGATAAGAATAAATTATTTTATTCTTCAAGAATGTCTCAGTTGAAGGCTACACAACAACAGGTCGTTTAACAACTATAAGGTTAACAGCGTTCTAGTAAAATACTGATCCAAACACCAAATCTTCCTGACAAGACAGAGCAGGCGAACTAAACATCACACAGAGCGAAGTGAAACATTACCTGAAAGTGTGTGTGTGAGAGGCCATGAAGAGCGTCACAAAACACAGCGACTGTCACTGTGAAAAGGATTAATCCAGCTGTCATGTTTCAGCGATACAGTTACCAAAACTCACACCGCGCTCACTTTGACTTAACGTGACACAAGCCTGCACCAAACACTCCAGTCACATGACTTCTGTCACGTGACTTGTGTGACATTCTCCGGTGCATTCAGGTGCAGCTCGGTAGATCTGCTATACACCAGTTGATGGAGCGCCTGTAAGCAGTCACACATGACGAAATAATAATAATAATAATAATAATAATAATAATAATAATAATAATAATAATAATAATAATAATAATTAATTTATGTTTTCGCATCCACCTGAATAATGTGCAGTTGCGCCACTGCATTTACCCAATTGATTTATTTTTATTCTGGCCAGGGTTCAACCGTTTATGGTGAGTCCCCCTTACTGTTTTTCAGTACGTTTATTTGCAGTTTGCATTTTTTTTTATCTTTTTGTTTGCATGTAGGTTTAATTTGTCAATTGCTTGCATGATTGGTTTTATTTAGTTTGTTCGTTGCTTTGCTCGTCTTGCTTTTTGCTGTTCATTTGCTTTGCATGTTTTTCTTTGTTTGGGTTGCAGTGTTTTTTTTTTGTTTGTTTGTTTGTTTGTTTTCTGTCTTAGTTTCTTTGTTTAGTTATTAATTGGGTTTGAAAACAGAACTTGCCGCTGAAGAGCTGATGTGTAATATGTAATCTGTGAAGTTTGTAAACTGTCTTCTTTAACGCATATATTCTATTGTTGTAGACCTATTTTCAACTTTTGGAGAAAATAAATCATTAATTTTTAAATATTATGATCCACCTCTCTTTGTTGTCCCGACCTGGCGTAGCCTTTTTGTAGATATTAGAAGCTGAATAGTCCTGGGGCCAAGATCTCAGGTGGCGTTGTTGGTTGTAATGTTTTAAAATTTAATAGTAGACACCGCTATTGTCACACTAATAACAAAATTATTAGTTAGTAAGGCACTCCACAAATCTGCATTTCGGTGGGAAAAGGTGCTCTATTCAAATGTCTGTGGATCTCTGGACTCTACTAGAACTACCGATGTTGCCACCTCATCTGGGCTCTTGCTGAACTGAGCTGAGCCACAGACTGAAAGCATCAGTTCATGTTCTACGTGATAATACAATCATAATCAATAAATTAGAATATATGTCCCAATAATTTTCGAAAATAACACACTTCTCAGTTTAGCTCACATTTTGTTTTTATATTTTTTATACATCTGATGTAATAATCTATTTTTAAATGTTACGTTTTAATTATGTATTACTAACAGAAATAAAGACTTTCAAACAACAATTTCTATGTAATAATATATATATTATTTTAATAAATTTGTTTAATGGGCATATGATGTCATCATAAAACAAAACATGGACTAATCAGACCATGTAACCTTTTACCATTAATCCAGAGTCCACTTTTCTTCTTCAAATCACAAAGAAGCCTTGAGAAAAATCACATTTAAATCAAAAAGTTAATATTGTTGAGTGTAAATAAAATATTGCTTGTTCATTGTGTTTTTGTATTCTTTGAAAATTACATTGGCACGTCTGCACTGCCAGGTCTGTTTAACAGAAGAATGTGAACACCTGGCTATGATGCTTGCTTGGCATTTTCTTTTGATCTCCCTGTGGTGGGCGGAGCCTGTTGCCTGTTGGATGTCACTCTACCGGTGCAACAGGTTGGCCAAGCAGAGAAAGCCCTGATCTGGGAAAAGACACATTCTTTTCCTTGTGTCTGGTGAAGTGTTTGTCTTGATTCAGTTTATGGCTCACTTCTGGAAAGTACACTCATTTTCGCTCCTGACTTCCTCCTCAGAGACAAGCCCTTCATTGTGAGCTCAAAGGTTTGTTTGAGTTCTCTGAGATTTCCCAGTAGAGCTATGATGTCAACTCACACAGTAATTACAGTCTCTACTGTAATGAAGAATAATATGGTGAGTCTCCATAATTAGAATGGAAACAAAAACCTCTATTAACCCCAGAGGTTAAGAAAGATGCTCATATGGATCTGTTGCAGAACTGTCATGGCTTCTCAGATCTAGCAGCAGTTTGAATTTGAGGTGAAGCTTATTGTTACAGTTAGTTAATAATGTTGCTCACCAATGTGCTCACTTCTGTGTGTACGTGTGACATAAAGCAGGTGAATTCCACCTCTGGTGTGTCTACCTGGGGAATGTGGATGGAGGACTTCCTTGTAGGAGCTGGGAGGAGACTAATGAAGAGGCCAGTTTCTTTTCCTCACACTTCCATGTGAGCACAGTGTTGTGCACAGCAGGCACACAGGGAGCAGACACCAGGACTGCCAGGACCATTTCAAGCTCTCATTCTTATTTGAAAGGTGAGATTCATGGTGTGCTTGAGACTTTTTATTCTTGTGTTAACTGAGTTGAATGTGAGCTTTGCAGACAATGAATGACTTATTAGGACATATATTAGGAAATATTCCTTGAATGCCTCATATTCCTGGAATATGAGGTACTTCAGGAAAGCTATTAAGAATTTATTATCTTAAAAGAACACCAACAGACTAATTTCATTTCTAATTTAAATTTCCTAAACTTGAAGCTGTTTTTAAATGGTTGGTTTTTGCTTTTCTCCTTTTTATCACATGCTGATGATAAGCTCTGTTAGTGAACTACTTAGAAGTTTAGCCATGCTTGGTGTAGATTCTCAGGATGGGAACCCTGAGCTTTGAACAGCTGGACTTCTGTTTTTGTTCAATGTCTTACTACTCATCTACAGGCTGCTTTAGTTCTGATACTGTGGTGGGACTTCGTTTGGACCAACCCACACATCCTAACATCTCAAGAAAATAGAAATATGTTCTCAACTACTGTCTTGTTGAAACATGGAACTGAATTTCTTCACATATTGCTTAGGATGGGAGACATTTGTTTAACATCGACGCAAGGGAAGAGCAGGTTGTGCTGGTTTCACAGAAATTCTCTTTGGAATTAATTTAGTTTTTTTTATTTTTTATATTAACTTAGAAACCTGAAACTTCTGACTCAGCTTTCTGTTTGACAGGTGGAACATCTTTTTAGTCTTTAATTGTGAATGAGACAGGAAAAACCAGCTTGGTTAACTTTCAAGTGATTAATATCAAATGGAATCTGGCTGCCACAACCTGGGCAGTTTTATTCCTTCAGCTGTTCCCAGATCAACCCCGAGTGTAACCGTCTCAAACTTACAGCATTTTCCAACTTATTAAATATGACTTTACTAAGCGCAGACTAATTGCTTTATTAGGTATTTATTGACCCTATAGACAAACACATTTATGAATTCTTATTGTAATTACACAGAAACATCTTATTTTTTTGGTGGTTCTACTTTTTGCGTTGGGGTTGCAAATAACATGGGAACGTTTTGAGGTGGACGATGTGGCTCTTTAACTACACTGGAGAATTTTTGAACCATTCAAAGTTTAGGATCACATATACATATAAGAAAAGCGGTAATTAATTCAATTCCTAAAATTGCACATGAAGGTTAAATGAAACTTACTTTTTAGACTGGATGCCAGAATGTGAAAATCATTTAAAACCAAAGAAACACAAAGATATGTATTAATGTGTGTGTTTCCTTGATCCAGTCTCTGCTGCTCAGAATGCCTTACACCGAGTTGCTGCGGCTCTGGAATGAATCTGTGCAGGCAGTGGATGCCAAAGACTGGGAAGGAGCTCTGGCAAAGCTCCAGCAGATCCCGGAGCAGACTTCTCGCACACACTTCAACGCCGCCTCGGCCCACCTGGCTCTGGGACAGCTGGACATGGCTCTCAGGGTTTGTGTCAACAGCATTCACAAGTATTACCTTAACTGTCAGTCTAACACTACAACATTACATATTTGGTCAGAATGTGAACCATAGCCTGTACATTTCAAAGCAACAGTGAGGAGCATCAGATGAGAGCAGCTGATCAGCAGCTAACTCTGTGCAGGCAGCAAAAAACGATATGTGACATTCGGCATCGCATTGGAAACAAAAGCAACAGGACTAATGGGGAATACAAAATTTGACGACAAACACTAGATTTACTGAATCTTCATGCAAGATGTTTTTCATGTTCTACATTTAAATCTAATCTTTTGAAACTTGCTTTTAATTCCAGAAAGCAGGACCATCAGGCCAGTCCTGGTTTCTTCCTTTTATCACTAAATTTATTGATATTGTTTTATTGATACCTTTCTTAATTAATTTTCTACTCTTTTGTTGTTTTTTTCTTACTTGTGCAGCACTTCAGGTGCTCTTTAGTTTTAAAGCAGTATATAGATAAATAGATGACCATGATGATTTTTGAATCCCTTAAAAAGTTTTTCTATAAAGGGAAACATAATTTGCTGAACACATATAAAAAAGTGTCTGAAAATTGTATTTTATTAATCAAATGTCAACGGTCAAGGAAAATTTGAAAGCAAAGAGGCTAGCAAAAGTTCTAATGAGTGCAAAATCCTCCTGAAACCTAAAGAGGCTTCTGGTGGGTTGACCCTTGAACCCTGATTAAAAAAATCTAGCTTGTTCTATTTCTTCTGTTATGTTCAGTGTTTAGACCTCACCATTGCCAAGGATGAGCGGCTTGCTGTTGCCTTCTTCCAGAGAGCAGCCGTGATGCTGCAGATGGACAGGTCGGTCTCTTTAGGCTTCAGAAACACCTGCAGCTACTATAAAGCTTCGTTACTGAGAAGGAATGAAACTTCACTAAAGATGTAATACTTTAGAGGTAGAATGAGAGAAAATAAACCAAGACATTTACAGTAACTCCACTCACTGAAACAAATGACTTAGTTCCTTTTTAAGCACATTTAGTCTGAAAGAATAATAACATATGCACTCAATGTTCTTAATAACAGGAGACAGGAAGCAGATTAGCATCTGCTTCTGCTTTGATGACTCTGCAGTGATACTGATGATTTTTACTGATAGTGATTGATCCTGTGATCCCTGCTCCACTCATTTTACATGAATGTGAACATCTGGCTCAGAAAAACTGGGCTGACTTGCAGAGTTATTTGTGTTTTGCAATAGTATTTATTCAACTGAATATTTTTCCATTTTACTACTTTACAATTACAAATTTATAAAAAATATGGGCTTTACTTAAATAATTTTCATAGTCTAAATATGCATAAAAATGCTTACTGGTTAATGAAATCAATGATTTTGATGTTCTTTTATGCTACACTAAGATTTTTTTCTTTGATTTGTCACATCACATATTGATTTTAACATTTGACACATAAGTATTTTGATGTACCATCACTAAGTCCACACTCATTAAATAATATGTAATGTGTGCAAATACTGAACCAGTCCTATAGTTCTTAAACTGTCTAAAACATCACAGTTGCACTAAAATGACTATTCTTTGGAATTTCTGTGAAGGAAACAAAGCTAATGCTACAAAAACAGTGAAGTACCCTGCACCTCTCCTAAGAGCCCAAAATCAGACTTAGCATCAAGTTGTTTGATCATTTGTGATGCATACAAATAATAACACCTGAGTGTTATTAGATTAAATAGATTTAATCTAGTTTTACTTTAAAGGTCTAGAATATTAATAAAAATGTAAAAAAATAAATAAATAAATAAATAAATAAATAATAATAATAATACAATAAATTTTGGTTCCAGAAAAGGATGGAACATATAGATGTGTTATTGAGTTCATATGCAGATATAAATATATGATTATCCTCAAATTTAATGATAGAAATGATCAAGTCTTTGTGCTTGTGTGGGCTTCTGTAGAGCCTGGATAACCAGGCTTTAAATTTGACCCGTGTATCAGATGACAACCATTCATCCATTCCTCTGTGCATGCTGCACTGTCCAGGTCGGAGGAGGCTCTGTCAGACTGTATCTGGGCGCAGGAGCACATGAGAGGGAACGCCGTCATTGACTACAGACAGCTGGGACTGAGATACAAACTCTACTACTGGCAGGTCTGAAATTCAAACTCATGTGCATACACAAAACCATCACCATTTGACTCACCATCCATTGACTTCCATTTATTTCTACAACCTAACCTTAACCAAAACTCAATTCACACCTTAGTCCTAAACCCAAAAACAGCATTTCCCCTTGTGAGGACCAGGCTATGGTCCCCACATGGAGCAGTGAGTCCCCACAACATGTGTACGCCTGTGTTCACGTTTTAGTCTTTGTAATAGAATTATTGAAATAAGAAGACAGGATTTCTTCATCAGATGTCCCTCTCCTGGCACAGAAGATGCTAGTGGCAGGTTACTGCAGTGAGGAGTAATGACCTTCTGTACTGCTCCTCAGTCGTGAAACAGTCTGTTCTATAAGTATGTTTTCTGTTTCCTCAAAGTCAGAGTTTATTGATATAGCATATTTACAACAACCTCATCTGACCAAACTGCTTCACAGCAACCACAATATCACAGGTAGATAAAAGACAAAACAAGAAATAAAATTAACTGTGATAATATAATAATAATAATAATAATAATAATAATAATAATAATAATAATAATAATAATAATAATAATAAAACATTAATAAAATTGGCAGTAAAATACCAAAAATAATAATATAAATAAAAACCAAGACATGCTTAATTTTAAGTGCAGGGATTTTGCAAGAAAAATAAAAAATCAATTACTATTATCTCCGCTTTACTTTTTTTCCCCCTGTGTTGCGTTGTCCATTATGGTAAACAGTTCGAGAAATCTTTTCAAGATTTTATGTCAGAATGCTGGGAAGTTGAGCTCATCGTTCCATTGATCAGCCTGGTGCTATAAGGGGATAATTGATTTGGACAAAAACAGAGGTTGCCTCATGCGTCCATAGCAAACTCTCCAGATTCATACAGAGGTTTATCTAAGAGCAAAGTCCTCAGTACAGTGACATTCAAGTGTAAACCAGTGCAATACTATCACAGAATAGATTTAGGTCCTTTGTAGGCATAATTATTATTCCAGTAATCTTGACGGCTGCTGGGAAAATAATGTGTTTTTCTGTCACTGTTTGCAGAACAGATTTCCCTGTGGAGTAGGAACTGCTGGGCAAAGCTGTTTTTGTTCCAAAACCACAAAGTGAATTTACCAGGAAAGAAATATTAGAGTAATCACATCAATAATATTTGCTGCTGTGAATTATGCTGAATATCATCTCAGAGAGATTTACACACCCAGAAAAAAAACAATATTTAAGTGATGAAACTGAAATTTGTTGTTGTAATTTGTTCCATAGATATTATATAATACAGCAGCTGCGTATTGTCGGATGGGCCAATGGGAGTCAGCCATGGACAAGCTGGTGTCAGCCACTCAGGACAGAGGACAAGGACGAGGGGGAAATATTGAGGTGGCTTTGAAGAGCGTTGAAGTGAGTGCTGCAGTCTTTACTTCAGACCGTTTACAGATTGGGGAGAAATTTGACCCACAAGGTTTATGTTGCATTTTAGCAGCATAGTCCATAGAGAAGAATGAGGATTGGTTCCCATAAGGGTTTCCCCCACTGTATTATAAGCCCAGTGGCCCGCCAGGCTGAGCGTTGCTTGTTTTTGTTTTTGGAAAATAATATTAATAATTATTAAATTATTTTATTTAATTTTTTTAATAAGTTGGACAGGAAGTCTTGTTGCACTGAGTGAAGTATTCAAATAGATTGGTTTATAGTTGATGCATTTAACAGGCCACAAAACCGGAAGCGTGGATCAATCACATCACTGGCATCTCTGTGGGTTGCCTCGCGCTGTCGCTGCTTACATGCCTGAAGTTTACCTTAGCACAGATCACGCGCGCCTCCTTTCACTTAAACTGGGCACAAGCTGACCTGTATGGATATTTACATCAGGACATATGTTTTTTTGCAGAAATTATTCATCAAGGCGGCAGTCAAGATTAAAAACCAGCACGTTAGCTCTGTTCTTGCATCTCTGATATAACCTTTCAGAGGTGAACCACCGGTGAGAATGATTTATATGAGAAGAAAGAATTATGTGTGGCGTGTGCGTTTACATCCAAGGGCACCTGCAGGATATTATCAGATGGTTCGGACAAAACCGTCATTGCACCTGATCCACAGGAACACATCCACATCCCCAACACCCATAAACGCACAAACCTAGCCCACACTGATATGCCACATAAACGCGATGCGCATGGCACAGAAACGACGGATCAGATCCACACAAGGCCAAACTGTCACCCACAATGTGACTCACACAAAATTATATGCTTTAACAAAATAAAAATAAATAAAAAGTTATACTAAACAATAAAGAAAGGAAAGCCTCCCCTTACCTGAGACTTCCAGAGAAGGATGTCAAGCAACAATGTTTGCTTCTTTTCTACTCTTTATGACAAACGTTTTGAATAACTCTCCCAGTCTAGCGTGACGCTGGGGAAGAGCGCGAAAGATGTCACGGTCTGTCGATGGAGAATCGATGGTGTGACCCATCAGTGTTTCAGTTCCTGAAACCACAAAAAAAAATAAAAAATACTAATGAAAGCGCGCATGCAGGATACAGAGCTCAGTTGGAGTTAATGCGACCCCTCTCAGAACTCCGTCAGAGTTAAAAGTCAGGATATTTATTTTTAGCTGCATAGTCACATTTAGTTCACAGAAAGAGTGCCAAGCTGCTAAATACACAAAAGAAAACTGACCAATAACATTCAGGTTTAGGATGTATGTGCCCACGCACACAAATGTGGGCTACTACAGAAAAGGCCATTTTTATTTTTTTTCCCTAAAATTTTGTTAATAGCAAGTGAAGAAAATAATATATATTTTATTTCATATTATATTTCAGACTGCAAGAGATATAAATGTCTTTGAGAGGTTCAAGAGACCAGAAAGCAAAAAGTTGGTCAGAGATTAAAGGAAGAATTTATTTGCATGATGCCGGCAGAATGCTTTTCCATGATTGTTGAGAAAGGTATTAATAATTTTTAACATGCCATTTTTAAAAATAAAATGTAAATGGACATAGATAAATAAAAAAAAAAATAAACAGTGTTTTTACATGACTGTTGTTTTTGAGATGTCTAATTTCCAGTCAGAACAAACTTCTTAGTGAAATGGGAAGAATAAGCCTAAGTGTGAAAGTGGTTTAAGAAATCTTGTGCTTAACTGCAGGCTTAAATAACTGTGCTTTGTATGTTATGATATTACATATTGACATTAGAATATTAGCACTGAACTGTCACTTCTATGTGCTTTCACACTAGAGGAGGGAGGTCCTGGACCCTCTGCTGGTACCAGTGGGGTCAGTGTTTCGTCCCAGAAAACAAGAAATTGAGCAACTGCACCAAAGAGACTTCCTGGGGAAGGCGAAGGTGATGTGTCCTTCAGGGAATTACTTGATATTCACAATCTGTCATCAATATAAATTACATTAGCTCCATTTGGAGTTTTCAGACAGAATAAATAGCCCTGACAAATAATCTGACTGGACAAGAGTAGCTGGGTCAGAGTTTATTTGGATTCAATTCATTACAATTCAAATAGACACATTTAATGTTTAGTCAAATTCAGTTTAGAATGGCAGGTGGTACAAAGTTATCAATCAATCAAAGCATCAAGTCACTGGACACACCTTACCAACCCATGGGGAAGTATTTGGTAACAGTGGAAAGGAACCACTCCCTTTTATCAGAAAACCGAATAAACTCGAATAGTTTCTCTGCTAAAGAAAAACTGAGTTCACAGAGTTAATGACAACAGCTGGTCTGTCAGGAGAAACAGCAGAACAGAAAGGCTAGTGCTACAAAGAGGCTAGTGCTACCGAGAGGCTAGTGCTACCGAGAGGCTAGTGCTACCTAGAGGTTAGTGCTACCTAGAGGCTAGTGCTACCGAGAGGCTAGTGCTACAAAGAGGCTAGTGCTACCGAGAGGCTAGTGCTACAAAGAGGCTAGTGCTACCGAGAGGCTAGTGCTACCGAGAGGCTAGTGCTACCTAGAGGTTAGTGCTACCTAGAGGTTAGTGCTACCTAGAGGTAGCACTAACTACTAGCTAGTGTCACTACTACTAGCTAGTCCTGTGTATGGAGTGAAAAAGATTAAGTATACATAAAGTATGAGGCTGGTCTAAATGTGAATGAAAACTATCTGAGTCCCAACAAGAACTCCAAGCCTTCAGTAAGCCTGGAAAACTATTAATCAAGAAATCATCGAAATCTAACAGCTTGGAAACCAAAAATCAATAATAGATGTCTCTATACTCACAGTATTAACTGTATATAAAGTACTGAGAATAACTAGAATATCTCAGCAACAGCAAATTCAGCAGACACTTCCAACTAACTAGTTAGACTTTCTCAGTGGCAGAAGGGTCTATAGCATGTTCCCCATAGAAAAGCGTTTAATAACTATGCAATAATGAAATTATTTCATCTTGATGAAAATATCAGAGGGCTGCACAGTGGCGCAGTTGGTAGAGCTGTTGCCTTGCAGCAAGAAGGTTCTGGGTTCAATTCCCAGCCTGGGGTCTGTGCATGGAGTTTGCATGTTCTCCCTGTGCATGCGTGGGTTCTCTCTGGGTACTCCAGCTTCCCACAGTCCAAAAACATGACTGTCAGGTTAATTGACCTCTCCAAATTGTCCCTAGGTGTGAGTGTGTGTGCATGGTTGTTTGTCCTGTGTGTTTCTGTGTTGCCCTGCAACAGACTGGCAACCTGTCCAGGGTGACCCTGCCTCCCACCTGGAACACTAGCTGGAGATAGGCACCCCTCCCAACCCCACTAAGGGACAAGGGTGTAAAGAAAATGGATGGAAAATATTCATATATAGAAATAAAATTTTGCAGAAGTATAATTTCTAACATCTGAAAATATCAGATATTGATAGACATATGTAGAAATAAGATTTTACGGAAGTTTGGATATCTAGAGTCTCCTGGATTTTTTTACTTTTATGCTGTAATCTACAGGTGATTTCTTCTATGATTCCTAATGATGATTTTGGAGGCTTTGAACCTCTGAGGCAGCAGGTAAGTGTGATCAGAATATCTTTATATCTGATGAGACTTCAGTTGGTCACTGAATCCATGTTCCAACTCTGCTTTCTGTGCAGAAGCCTGGTTTCTATGAGCCTAAGACAGATGGTGTCCAGTGAGTTTTCCATGATCCTGCAGGACATACAACTGATCATAATTCCACTTCAGAACAAAATAATTTAATAAATCAATCCTTGTGTGTGTGAATTTGTGTTGTGTGTTAGGGAGTCCCGATACATGCGTGTGCGGGCTCCTTACATGGCTCGGGGCCCAGGACAGCTGACCGTCCCCGGAGGCTCCATGGTGTTTTTATTTGGAGAGGAGGACAGAGATGGAATGATCAATGTCATCCATGATGGAAAGGTGAGGACAAATCCTTTATAGTCTGCAGGGTACTGGGAGTTTTTGCCTACTCAAAAATAAATTAGGCAAGTCCATTAAATTCATTTCATGGACTTCATATATGTTATGAAATGTATTACATTTCATAACATATATCATCTCAAAGCATTGTCACTGCATATTGAAGCTTTCACATGTTCTAAAGATCATCACATTTTATTAAACATTTAGAAGTCAAAGTTGAAGCTGATTTTTATTGGTCAGATTAAAGGGCATAAAATATAATTAATAAAACAGCAACACAGATATTGATAGAGAAAAGCACAGAACAATAGAAACATGTTCAACTTATTTTATTATCTATTTAACTTGAACCTTTTCTTCAAACGGACATCACAGATTACAGCTAGATCAAATCCTTTAAATGAAATAACAGCATGTTGAATTATCATGCAGTCAATCCCCTTCAGCTGACTAAAGTTATTGTCAAACTCCAAAACAGATCATTTGAGATTGCAGCAAAGTGAAACTTCCTAGATGAAACATGCAAAAAGCTTCTCAGCAAAGGGTTAAGGGTTAAAGCCCTTTAATGTTGATAAAGATGTTTCCAGTACTTATTGAATGTGGTAAAAATAATGTTGGCAATGCCTTTTTTAATAAAATGTAGATAGTCAGGCATTTTTCTATTTTTATGTTGTTTTTTTAAACGTTTTACTGTCTTTAGAAACACATTCTTTTTCCTAAATTAAAAAAAAACAAAACAAAAAAAAAACAAACAAAACTACTTAAACCTTAATCTGCCTGGAGTGTGACTAATTCTGATCTTAACTGAATTCCTTAATTATTCTGGGCAGTTCAGAACTTTGTTCTTTTGCTTTCAGAGAGGACTGCTGCCAGTGTCGCTCCTTGAACCTGCAAAAGTCAAGAAATCTAAGAAGGAGAATGTAAAGTTTTTATGTCCTATAAACGTCCATTAATACTCCAACCAGCATATTTCCTGCTCATTACCCAGTAATTTATTGTAAACTTTTCAAGAATGTCTGTCACACAAAATAGTTGAACATATCAAGATTTCCTGTTTTACTTAACTTTGTTTCTCCAACAGCGCGTCCCCAGTGGGATCCCCCTCCCTCCAGAAGACAAGCCACCGAGTCGCCCAGAGACTCTGCCAAGATCTATGGTTCCTCCTCAAGGTAAACTCTCCCCCCTGCTCTTAGTTTGTAGCTCCTCTACTTTTTTGTCCCAGCCAGGTGTTTTCTATCTGAGGAAGCTCAGCTGATTGCATTAAGTCAGTATCTGCACAGTGACTGCACATGTGATATATGCATGTTCTTCCTTCATAACAAAAAGTAGCCTCCATTATGAGCGACCATCTGCTATGAGAGACTGGGAATTTGAGATGACAGAGCAGACACACAAAAAACACTGTTGCTCTGTCAATATTAAGGAAAAGTGAACCAAATTAGTAGCAGCAGTAGCTCCTTTAATGGCTTCAAAGACAAAGTTAATCAAAGAAAGGGATGGAGCATCAATGGAGAATTATCTGAATAGAGAGCTATAACTCACCTGATGGCCAACTACAGGGAGATGACACAGTGAAACAGAAACACCAGGACAGATTATTCAACACCAATTGTTGATCCACCAACTAACTCCCAGCTTCCTCATCCCCACGCTGTTAACCACAGGATCTGAATATCAACAGTACCTATTTCAAAACACCCATCAACCACTGTTCGCACATGATGCCAAACAGGCTAGTACTGCCTTTACCCAGTGGAGTTTTAACTCCTGAGTTTTCCAATTCTGTTATCCTGCTGTAATCCAATTTTAAGTTGTTCGCAAAAATCTGTTTTATTTTCTCCTCTGGGATGCCACTCATCAGAATATTGTTTTGTAAACAGTAAACAGTTTTGTTTACTGTAATCTTCTACACTGTCTGCTTTTGAATCCAAGACCAACATAGATTTGGTTAATGTCTGAATATCATTCAAACATATCATTTAGTTGAATCCATTATTTATCTTGCTTTGTTTATTTTTCGGTTCATCAACTTCCTTCTGAGTAAAGTGAAGTTTGTCTTCACTTCTTGCAGATCTTTCTTTAGCTCATCCATTCATTTGGTAACAGTGGTCATTATCAATTGTGTGAAGTTATTTCAACTCTTCTCTTGTTGCAACAACAGTTCTTTAAAGTGCCATCACTCTTTAGTTGAGTATTTGGGATTGTATTCCATTTAACTAAACACAGCCATGGAATTCAGACCAATCATACAACAGTGTTGCATGGAGAGTGGGGCAAAATATTCCAAAGAATATAGCAAAGGGTTGTGACAAGAAGGGACCCACAACATGAGGCTGAGAACAAAATGATTTGATTTTTGTAAACAGTTATTACAATGAAAACTGATTTTTGCGGTTTGACTCGACCATGAAGAGCCCTGTAGGGTGGATAAGCTGAGAGAAATGGAATGGAGCAAGACCAAGAAGGGATTTCAAGGAATACAAGGAATTTAAAATGAGTAATAAAATGTATAGGTAGGGGAAAAATGGTAAAAATCATGTCACAGGAACCTCTAATTTATTACATCACACTTTAACCTGACAAAAGCTCCACTGGCTTCCCATCACACATCGCATCAACTACAAAATACTCCTCCTTACCTTCAAAGTTGTCCACAAACTCATACCTCAACCACATCCTTCATGTTGCTCCACCAATCAGATCCTCTTCTATTTAGATTTACCTTCAAAACTCATCTGTCCTGATTGTCCGCTACTGTCTTATGTACAGTTTTATATTATGTTTATTTTTATTAGGTATTTTTTAATATTGTGTCTATTTTTAAGTTTGATGATGCAAGGTGACCTTGAGTGTCAAAAAGGGCACCTATAAATAAATTGCATTATAAAGCGGCAGTGCAGAGCCTCAGGACTGAACTGTGTTTTGGTTATGCAAGAGAAATGACTGTAACCAAAACACAGAATGGTTAAAAAAAGCTCCGTGTTTCTGATACTTGTATTAGAGCTGCTTCCTGAGGGCCGACCCTACAACAACAACGCTTTACATTTAGTTTATTTTAACATCCATGCCCATGAACAGACCTGCTGTCAGACTGATTTTACCTTATTTTCTCTGCAGTGAGTCCATCCACAGAAACTCCATGTCCATCCTACAACAATGCCACCCACACAAAGCCACCAGCCTCAGGGCCCCCCAGGTACACGGCCAACGCAGCAAGCAACAAGGTAGCACACACGTACACACAAATGTACTAATGACTTAACTCTCCTTTACTTTTTGTCTGATCTCAAAAAAATGGATTTTTGCTGACTTGAGAAGAACTAGTTTTTTCAGAGAGAATCTTAGGCTGAGAAATACTATGTCCCAATTATGTCACAGAAATGTTTAGTAAAGCCAGAGATACCACAGGTCAATTCCCTTTTTTATTTGACTTGAATAGACTCACTTTTAGGGGATCTTTTCTTATATCCTGATTGTTTAATAAAAAAAAAAAATCTAGAACCTGAACACAGGGTGCTGTGTAACCATCACATCTGAATCAGTATGTGAGGCGATCAGAGGTGTGTAAGGTCAGAGGAGGAAGCCGAGGAGCCTCTTAGTTGTCGTTCTTGCTGTAGAAATTGTATTACAGTATGAATAGATAAGAAGGTACTATTCATTCTAGAGTCATGGGGTAAACTAGTCAGTATGATGCAACTGTGATCAGTCAAATTTTTTGAGCTTCATATCATGTTATGTTATTCCATCATCAAAAACATACCTGGTGTTTTGATTTGTTTCATGCACATTTGAGAAATCCCTTAATCTCCCATGAGATTAATGGATTGAAGGATGCCTAATTGCTCCTCCTCATTGCTGCAGTTTTTGCAATTTCACAGAACACCTCTCCCTCCGTCTCCCACACTCAGCTACTTCAGACTAGCAGCAGCAAATTAGCAAACACCTGGTGGAACTGTGAGTCTCCTGAGGTCATCATACAAACCACTTCTCAGTCCAACGCTCCTAATGGTTGTAAACAGCATCATCGAGAAGTGCTGTTATGATGGCATGCTGAAGGAAAATGTCAGAAAGAGCAGGAGTATCTTAAAGGGAAAGAGACCAATTCCACGCAGTCAAATTGAGAAGTCAAATTTCTTTTAAGTTATGTTTAATATATAGATCATCTTATGACAACTGAAGGTAACGTGTTAACTTGATTGTGCTATAAATCGGCACTATGTGCCTGGAAAATACATAATGCTGCCCCTTTAAGCATATAATTTAATCCCCTGTAATCCTCTGTGACTATGTTGGCAAAATGGACCTGACTGAGAAGTGCAATTTATCTGAGGATGGGTTGGCAGCAAACAACAACTGTTTGTGGTGTTCTACTGCACTGCCACAGCACCCTGGTTGATACAGAATCTGTCCCTGGTGAAGCTTGCATCATGATGTCAGACGTAGGCTACGAAGGCAGCATTGAACTTAATTGTTTCAATGCCGCCAGTAAAAAGTTCCTTTAAGTTAAAGATTTGTAACTATTAAGTAAATTCAACATAAAAAAGTAAGCTGCCATCACTAAACCAAAAGAATTAAGTGAGATCAATGTAAATAAGTCCATAACATGAACTACAGCCTAAATACACTTTTTAAAGTGCATCTCTGCTCTTACATGGCTAAGTCAATATTAGCTTGATTGTGCTATAAATCTGTCTATATGCTGTTTTTTCTGTCTATAAAGCTGTCTGACTGGATTGTTACGTGATTTTGTGTTCTTCACTTGAAGAAACAAGCGTTGGCCCGCTGAGCATTGCTAGGAAAACTGGGACAGTTTCTCTTAGCGCATTTAACATCCTGAACCCAAGTGGGGTTTGTCACAGATAGAGAGAGTTATAAATGGTAAATAATAATGCACAAAAAGAAACATTTGATATCTTGATGTCTTTAAAACAGGAGTGCAAATTCTGAAGCTAAGCCAGCTGAATCTAAACCCAACACTAAAGCTCTGATAATCCCCACAGACACGAGGTAAGGCAGGCAAACTGATTTGACAGTTTGTGTGCACAACGCATTGTACCAACGCTGTGTTCATTTTAGCAGATGAAGTGGTTTGGATATCCTTAGTAAGAAAGTATCACAAAACTATCAGAAAAAAACTAGATTGTGGCAGAATATTCCAGTACTTTGCTTTCTGTCTGTTCCTCTCAGCAGGCTGGCTCCCCTCAGCGAGCAGAGGAGGGATCTTTGGTGGTGAAGGTTCACTACACCTACAACTTAGCTCTGTCCATCCCTCTGGACACACCTTACCACAAGCTGAAGGAGCGAATCGCAGAGAAAGTGGGCCAATCAGCATCTCAGCTGCGGCTCAGGTACGAACATTAAATAAATGTGTTTTTTCATCATTTATTGTGTTATTTTCCTACGTTTTCTCTTCCATTTACAGCTTCCATGTTTTTCTCTTTCTCTTCATCAGACATAAACAGTCTGGGTCCAGAGTTCTCTTGCCTCTGCCTGGAGAGGAGGAGTCGGGACACACAGTTCAGGAACTGGCTCAGGCTGGGAGAGTCACCCTGTGGTGCCAGGTAAGACATGCAGAGGATCGTAAACTTTATCACTTTGTCATGGTGGAAGTGCTGGTGTTATGTCAAAATGATATCTGGGATTTTTGTTAATTTATAAAAAATATTAATATTTAAAAATAAGTTTATAAGTATTTCCTGCGGTGTGAGTCATTTTCAAGCTAAAGTACATCTGATTCCCACTGATTGTCCTTCAGATGGCTTCTACTACTTGATTTGACTCCACTGGTGATAAGTTCTCACCCTGAACAGAATCATCAGAGCAGAAACCAAGTAATCATGTGAACCAATTGATCTTTCAGCCTCTGAGGCTTGGTATAAACATATTTAAAACAGTTTTGGCAGCACTGTATGTCCTATAAAGCACTGGGATCTTCATTATTCATGTTGAAAGATCCTCACTAGATCTGCTTGACAGACCAAAATCAGGCAAATCAGGCCTTGACCAGAGACTTGGAGTCAGCGGTCACCTAGGCAAAGTTCCAGTGTTTCCAAATAGAAAAATCATTCAGAAGGTCAACCGTTGCTGACCTTCTCCATCTGTCCAGTTTTTAGAGTAATCGGATCGAATCCACTCCTCACTAGCAGCTCATTAAACCTGCTGCAATTCAACCCTGATTGTCAGATCAGGAGTTACAATATTCTCCAATCAGATTATTCAAAAAATACAACAATTTCATTAAAGCTATCATGCTGACACATGACGGTGTCAGCATCATGCTGTGGCGATGCTTACCTGCAGCAGGAACTGGGCAGCTGGTTCTCTGGCCTGAGAGGATCTGCAGAGGAAACGGAACCAAGAATAAGACTGGATTGATGCCAGTGGGGCTCCAACAACATATTCAGCCTTTTGGATCAATATCTATCTCCCTAAATATTTACATTTTTATAAAATTACCAAAATTCCCAGGGTCATGTTTTCACTTTGTCTTATATGTAGGTTTTCTTCAAAGAAGTTTTCTTATTTCTTTTTAGAATATAGTTCTATATTCTATTTATTCTAATTATTAATATTACTATTAGTTATTAACTATGACAATAATAATAAAGTTATTAATATTATTAATATTCAAATTATTTTTAAAAAGGTCTGGGATGCAACAAAATGTTGAAAAAGTGGAGGTCTGTAGATGGCGTCAGTAGCCCTCCAATTAGCTGAAAACATGAGTTTGATTTTATTTAAATAAAAAAAATTCTTATTTGTTATTGTTTTTCTCCATGAATTCTCAAATGTTTTCCTGACTTGTATGTTGTCAATTTAACTAAATCTTTCATGTAATACTTTATAAATTTGACATCGTTGCTCTTAGAGGGAAGACCCCCTGGCAAACCGTACTATCCTCTACCAGATGGTGGCGCTGTATGACTATGCTGCTGAGGGCCCTGAGGACTTAGAATTCAGTGAAGGAGACACCATTGATATCCTGACTGAAGGTGAGATACACACTAAGACAACCCTGTGGAGTAAAGCTGAATCCTGTTTTTATGTTTTTTCCTCCTCACTATTCACTCTGTTTCTTCTCCTTCCTCCCTTGCAGTAAACCAGGAATGGTTGGAGGGACACTGTGCAGGGAACATCGGCATCTTCCCGAGCTCCTTTGCCTACAAGGAGAACAAAAGCATAATTCAAGACTGAAAGTAGATGTCAATCAATGCAGTTGTCTCTAATAAATTCATAAACCTGTAAAAAGCAGGCCCTGTGCTAACTTCATGTTCAGTTAAATTATTTAAGTCTAATATTGTACAACTTTCTAACTGTTGTGGCCTCTGAGGCTCACTGTGAATCTGTACATCTTTAATCTCAAGGTGATCAATATATGATGATCATAGTTTGTCTGAAGCAAATGTGTCACATGGTTGATACTCTGGAAAACGGACAAGTGAGCCCAGACGTCCATCCCTGTTATCTATGATTGGTATATTTATATTAAACCTATTGTACAGTTTTCCTTCATTGAAATTACACTACTGAAAACTCAAATCATTAGGTATTTTCTCAGTTTTAAGCCATGTGAGTCAATGTGTTTGAATGTTTTTTTTTTGTTTGTTTGTTTTTTTCTGAAAAATATTAAACTTGTCTGAGAAACTTCACTATCTTCTATTTCTTTAGAAACAGGTATTTAACACAGGTTGCTGTACTTTCAGATTCTCCATCTAATTTGCTGCTCTAACTGAACATTTATTTTGTGTTTTTTTTCTCACTGAAGATGGAGAGCTTATCACCTTTTTACTTATGGAGGCCCCTAGGCCTACTATACATTTTAGCATATTTGAAGCCAGTCTAATCATCAGTATACTTGAAGTGTGTTATTTTGGAACACCTACTTTTTTACTTGGTGTATTTTAATAGTAATTAAATTGCAGAAAATCACAATTTAAAGTGTACTAAGTGTACTACTACGTGCTTTTTTGGAACAACTAAAGTTATACTTTGGATACTTTAAGAATATGGCTTTTTAAGTAATATAAATGTGCTTAATTGGTATATCTTAAGTGTACTATTTTTGTGATCGAATTACATTTAAAATATATTTAACGTGTTTTAACCATTACATATTTTGCATTAGTTGTTGGTAATCTGAATGGTTTAAAGGGCCGTTTCCATGTGCAGTTCCATCTCTTTCTAACACAAACAGACATAAACATGCAGTGAATAAATTGATTTTCAATCAGTTTTTTTTGCACCAAAGAGTTAAGAATTTATAAACACATTTTCACCGAGACTCTTTAAATGTGTATATTTATGAAAGTTTAAATTGACATTTGTGGCTGCATACAAAATATACCATCAAATATTTCACTAAGCAAACAAAACTTATTGCAAGGGAGCACAAAATAAAAAATTCCCCCGCCCCCAAGGGGTCCCTATTTTTTTTCCATAGGGTCATGAAGGTTTGGATGTTTTTCTCAATTAATGATAAGCATCTTCCTTTAAAATTTGCTTTTTTTTACTTGCATGTTTTTGACTAATATTTAAACTGGTTTGATGCTGGTTTGTAATACTGAAGTGACAAGCATTTGCAAAATTGCAAAACAATAGAAAGTCAGAAAGGGGGCAAACACTTTTCACACCACTGTACATTTGGCAGTGAGTGTATATTCCATCACTTTCTTGTGCTTATTTGAATGGTGGACTAAAATAGTCTAAGTCTCTACATGTCAGTATATTCACTGCATGCATATGCCTCACACAGTGAGAAGTTTCCTGGTTATGTCATTAACGGTCTGCAAAGAAAATGTCAGGAGCTTTTAGCTGTCATCATAAATGGATACAAAAATGTGCTGGTCAGAGCTGCTGAGAGCTCCACTGAAAAGGCTTATGAAACAGAGGCCTCTAATTACTGCACTTCTCTCCTGGGCGCTGAATCGGAGGCAACAGAATCAGCGCCCACATTCTCCTGCAGCTGCAGGTAGAGGGGCACATTTCAGTGGGAGTCACATTACCTCATGGAGAGTTAAAGCGCCCTGTTAGAAGAAAATTCTGTTCACAAAGAGACAAATAGATTTAGATCTCCTTAAAAGAAATGCATTGATGTAACGCTGTAAAACCACACAATTGCATGTTTTAGGCATGGAATGTAATTGAATTTCTAACTAGACTGCTTTTCTCTTTTTCATCAGTAAAAGAAAACATTTTAATTAAAATCATGAATCATTACATGAATCAGTAGTATAGTAGGACATATATCCATTTTTTACTAATAATTTTATATTCAACTGTATCTGGCTGTACTGTTAGGATTGAAATGATTTGATTTTACATGATTTGGGCTGAACTTGGTTTGAAGTGAATGTGGTTTGGACCTGTAAGCGCTGCTGCACAGAACCCTCAAGCTACCAGACCTCCTGTTAAAGACCTGAGACTGAAATTCAACTCACAAATGACCTCTATTATACATCCTGTGTGTTTATCATTTTCATCAGAGTGTTGTATGCAACTCTGTAATGTAAAGGAAATAATGAAGTTTCTTTAAGTTCATAGTTTTCATGCCCATTGTTAGATGCTTCCAGTGTCTCATTAAGACTAATTTGTCATGAAGCTCTTTGTCAGCAAAGCTACATATCATGTCTGCAAACATTTCATTATTATTCAGTACCTTCACTGGTGTCTTTGTGAGGGGAGATGTTTCCTCAGTAATTGCATTTTTCCTTTACTAGTTTATGTAAACAGTTACATAAAGAGGAAGTTTTAAGTCTGAGGGGGAGAGGATTAATGACTCTGGATAAAATGACTCATCCACTTCACTTCATTTAGGTTGTAACTTAACCTGTGCATGACCCCATTTTATCTCTTTAAAAGCATTATGTTTCACTGCCAGGGGGAAGGGTTTATCTGAGGTGGGCATTTATGGTGTGGTTTTTACTCAAATCCACTCAAGAAGGAAACACATAACTTAATCCTGGGGAAACTCTACTGCTGAATTTGACATGTGAACCTTACACTTTAAACAATGGATTTGCTTACATGAGATTTTCTGAATCCTGGGTGATTTACAGGGTGTATCCTGTATCTCTATAAGGCTGGGGGAGATTTCAGCCAGCAGATCCAAATAGTTCATCCAATAGTTTTTGGATTATTGGAGGAAGTTGCTCTTGGAGTACACTTTGAGCCCTCTCTTTATTCATGACAGTGTTATTGGCCTGAACTGTGAACTTAATAGAGAAGGAACCTCAAAAGTATCACTATTTTTTCTCAGGACAGATGATTTTTACTATGTCCTAAGGAAAGTCCTAAAAAAGCCTTTTGCCTTGTCTTTGCTATTTATCTTTCTGCTTCTGTCTGTCATTGTTGTTGTTTTAGTTGGTGAAGTATGATGAAACTATTTATGTCATGGTTGGTGGTTGGTAATGGACCCAAATGCAGAGGAGTGGAGGTGCAGAGTAGTGACATGTTCTCTGTGCCGAGGCTTCGGAGCATGTCGAGTGATCCAACAGGACTTTTATGAAGTACGTATCGACACTTGTGTTGATGGAGCAGGTGGTGAAGTTGACTGTAACATGTGACTGGTTCAAGAACTGCTTCGTCAGTTTTCTTGTGAATCAAATTAAATGGCAAAACACTATTGTTTCACCGTCACATTTTCTTATGTTAGGACTTAATGTTTGCAATTAATTTGAGCGCCTATTTGCAATGCACCCTCTCCTAAGGTTCACACGTAGTAATAATAATAAAAAAAAACACTCAGGATCCTGTGTTCTAATTTCTTCTTATTTCTAATATTTTCAAACGTGAAGTGTCACGGACAAATGAGCTGAACTGCATTTCTGACCCTTACTCACAAAGTGCAAATGAAGAGCCTCTGCGCCCTGTGAGCACAGGCGCAGTGAAGGTTTTTATTTTTAAATTAGAAAAAAATAAATAAGCTCATAAGGTTTGTGACAAACTTGGCAGTAACAAGCTCACTCACGTTACAATCTTCTCCTGCATTGTTTTATATAAACAAATTAAGACTATAATCAGGATTTATGTATTAGTAACACAAACATCATTTACTTGTTTATTCAGTTTAAGGTTTCACACATCACTTTGTTTTCATGTTGCCTATCTTACATGTATTGTTCACTTGATGTCGCAGTGGAGCAAATGAATCACCTCGGTGCGTCGGCTCATGAGTCAAACAGTTGGATGGAATCATGAGGTTAACTTGATAACTGAAGTTGGGAAACAGGACTTTGTTTTTGTAGTTATGTACCAGTTCAGCACAGGTTGTTTTATGCTCTCAACCAACATGCTCAAAATCTGACTCACTAAATCCAGCTGTTCAGCATGAATCATGATCCTTCACTATAAATTAATATGCTGGATTCAGGCCATGACTCTCCAGTAACTCTACATCTGTTCTCACATTATTACAGCATTTAGAGCTCAGCGCTGTCTCCAACTACAGCTAACTGTGTTCTTTTCCTGGTTTCTTGGCTTTCTGTATCTTTTTTTTTATTTTTTTTTTTACGTTTTATTCAGAATTTCCCGTGCAAATCACATCATACATCATACATGTCAGGGGAGGATCATCATGGAAAAATAATATATAATAATAAAATCATTTATATTGCTATTTTCACCCTGTGGTTTGTAAAGTATCTTTTTTTTACTTCGCTTAACCAATTCTAATTTTTTTTTTTTTTTTTTT